GGCTCCCTTTAGGTACTGGAAGGCTGCTCTAAGGTCTCCCCAGAGCCTTCTCTTCTCCAGGCTGAACAACCTCAACTCTCTCAGCCTGTGTTCACAGGAGAGGTGCCCTATCTTTCTGATAATCTTCATGACTCTTCTCTGGACTTGCTCCAACAGGTCCATGTCTGTCTTGTGCTGGGGACCCCATAGCTGGATGCAGTACTGCAGGTGAGGTCTCGTGAGAGCGGAGTAGAGGGGCAGAATCCCCTCCCTCAACCTGCTGGGCACACTTCTTTTGATGCAGCCCAGGATATGGTTGGCTTTCTGGGCTGCAAGCGCACATTGCTGGGTCATGTTGAGCTTTTCATTAACCAACACCCTCAAGTCTTTCTCTTCAGGGCTGCTCTCAATCCATTTTCTGCCCTGACCCGTGTGCAGGACCTTGCACTGGACCTTGTTGAACTTCATGAGGTTCACATGGACCCACCTCTCAAACCTGTCGAGGTCCCTCAGGATGACATCCCTTCCCTCTAGAGTGTCAACCACACCCCACAGCGTGGTGCAAGTCAGCAAACTTGCCGAGGGTGCACTCTATCCCGCTGTCCCTGTTGCTGACAAAAATATTAAACAGTGCCAGCCCCAATACTGACCCCTGAGGAATGCCACTCACCACTGTTCTCCACTTGGACATTGAGCCATTGACTGCAAGTCTTTGAGTGTGACCATCCAGCCAATTCCTTATCCACCGAGTGGTCCATCTGTCAGATCCATGTCTCTCCAATCTAGAAACAAGGTTGTCGTGTGGGACAGTGTCAAGTGCCCATATTTTCTCTAGTCTTCCTTTTATGACTGACATACCTACAGAAGCTTTTCTTGTTGCCCTTGACATCCCTGGCCAGATTTAATTCTATCAGGGCTTTGGCTTTCCTAACCTGCTCCCTGGCTGCTCAGACAGTTTCTCTATATTCTTCCCAGGCTACCTGCCCTTGCTTCCATCATCTGTAGGCTCCCTTTTTGTGTTGGAGTTTGCCCAGGATCTCCTTGTTCATCCATGCAGGCCTCCTGGCGTTTTTGCCTGATTTCCTCTTTGTTGGGATGCATCACTCCTCAGCTTGGAGGAGGTGATCCTGGAATACTAACCAGCTGTCTTGGGCACATCTTCCCTCCAAGGCTTTGTCCCATGGTACTCTACCTAGCAGGTCCCTGAAGAGGCCAAAGTCTGCTCTCCTGAAGTCCAGGGTAGTGAGCTTGCTGTGCCCCCTCCTCGCTGCCCTCAAGATCTTGAACTCCACCATTTCATGGTCACTGCAGTCAAGGCTGCCCTTGAGCTTCACATCCCCTACCAACCCCTCCTTGTTGGAGAGAACAAGGTCCAGCATGGTACCTCTCCTTGTTGGCTCCTCTACCACTTGGAAAAGGAAGTGATCATCAACACATTCTAGGAACCTCCAATTTTGGTAGGTGTCGCTATCTGGAGGAACAGCCATCTGCAGGTGAAATCCAGAGGTTTGTGGGGTCAGGCTTGCATTTTCCCCTGCCCGCTGAGCTCCAGCAGGGCAATGGCCCAGGACAGCCACCTTGCTCCCAAATTGGAGGAGCTGAAGCAGCATCATTTAGCAGCTTTGTCAGGAGCAACACCATGTATTTAAAGCTGTCTGCTGGGGCTTTGTTCCAGCAAGCAGCTCATGTTTGAAAGCTCTGAGATGTTCCTGGTGCTCTCTCTGACGTCCTCGGATGAGACATGGCAGGCCCTGCAAACACATGTGATGTAGCTCCTGAAGATGTGCCACGGGGGCATCCATCCTCCTTAGCAGCTGTGTATTGATTTATCCCAAATGACATCCTTAATGAGATCCTGGATGGGCCATGGCTTGGAGGTCCCAGTAAACTCTCCTTGCTCATGCAGGTGTTGGGCCTCATTTGATCCCCCTCTTTCAGGATGCAGGTTGAAGGGACAAAGAGGGTCCCTGGCTGGTCATGAGCCCCCCAAACTGCAGTTTGGATTGCAACTCCTTTGGTTTTGTTACTGACCTCCAAAAAGAAGCATTTGACTTGGGCTTGATTTCTGTGGTGGGTAGTGATTCTCATGTGGCAGAAAAACTATTTGAAGTGTAGAGTTAGCAAACCAGTAATTAGACATGCAGAAAACCACTCTGTGGAATAGAAGATGGAAAAGAAGCAACAATCTGTACAATTTTCTTGTAAAACTGTAGCAGGGGGACCTTGGCCCGTCCTCCCTATTGGAGCATCTTCGGTTGTGCCTGATCCTCATGTCCTCATGAGAGGTGGGAGCTCAGTGCAGCAACTCAATGCAGCAGAGAGCTCACTGAGCTTCCAGAGACTGAGGAATTCAAAATGTTTAGTCTGACTTCTAAGAAACCTTTGATTGATTCAAAGTTGTAACCTAGATGTTTCTTGTTATCCACTTTTTTCTTCTATCCTATTCCTTTATTTTTTTTGTTCTTAGCTCTTTCTCCCTTTTTTTGGGGGGGGGATATTCAGTGAAATATAGATAAGCCTTGCTCTGTCTTTGATGTCTTTTGATTTTTCTTCCTTTTGCTGATGTTGCTGCATGAATTTTGCAGAAGGTCATACATCAGAAAAGGAGCAGACTGTTAAGTGCAGCTGTGTGGCCTAGGAGGGAGAGCAAGCCGTGGAGGAGCATCCCAGGAGCCATGGCTCCATCCTCATCTCCACCACCCTGTCCCAGGGCACTGCCTTGCTGCCTCCCTTTTCTCGTCTATGAAAGTCAATGTCATGAGCACAGTGGGATCTGCAGGGCAGAGTGAGGTGACCCAATCAGCTTCACCCTGTTTCCAGCAGCAGCCAGGCTTACAGAGCCCATTCTGATCCCTTCTCTCACCTTTTGACCTGTTTCAGCCAAATTGGGTACAAGGGAAGGGGCTTCCATCTGAACATGAGGAACAACTTCTTCACTTTGAGGATGACAGAGTGCTGGAATAGGCTTGCCAGAGAGGTTGTGGAGTGTCCTCTGGAGATACCCAAAACCCACCTGGACATGATCCTGTGCAACCTGCTCTAGCTGATCCTGCTAAAGCAGGGGTGTTGGCCTAGATGATCTGTAGAGGTCACTTCCTACCCTACCGTTCTATGGTTCTGTGATTCAAAGGTAATTCTGTAAGTATCATTAAAAATGAGTGGCTAGGAAGATGGGCATTTGGACAGTGGCGTGTTTGACTCTAACTTCTGATCCTATCTGCAGTGGGATGTAGCAAGCCACCAATCATAGCCAAAGTACTCTGCAGGAGGATGATTCTGAGGGGAAGTAGAAGGGAATTTTGAAGGAATATGTGGAAATAATAGAAAATATTCAGTGTAATCCAGTTTAAAGGCTAGTCAGCACAAATCTGTAGAAAACCAGGCATCATTTCTTCCACTGCTCATCTGCTTGTTTATTATTAAAAGGGAGAAGGAAAAAAAGAAGCAGAAGAGGCAATATTGGCTCTGAGGTGGTAATGCTTTGCGGAATGGTGATGACAATGTTGGTGATCACAGGTTAGAGGGAAATGGCACTGTGTCATCCTGACCAAGGCAGAGACGTAAGCCTGTGGGCAGCCCTGTTCCTCTTTCACAGAGCTGAGCAGCGATGCTCTATTTCCCAGGGATGCACTGGGAGCTTAAAGGCACCCTTGAAATTCAGCCAGATGCTCTAGTGCTTCACCAAATAGGAGCAAATGTGTGGGATCATCCAGTCCATCCCCCCTGGCATGGGCCGGCACATCTTTAAGTTCCCCATTTAATACACTTCTACAAAAATCAATGCAGGTCTCACCCACTCTGCAAATCTCTACTTTCCATCCTGCTCTGGTTTGCAAACCCCAGTGCCTCCACCACCCCATCCCAAGGACTCCTCGATTATAAAAGATGAGTTTTCAGTCAGGACTGGAAGTGCTATGAGTGCAGAGCCCATCTGATCAGGAAGAATAGCAAATTGGAGTCAAGAATTAGTGAGAAAAAGCATCTTGTCAAATAGGAAAGTGTGACTTTTTTTTTTCCTTTCAATTAATGAAACTGTTTTGACAACTAAATTCCCCTCCTTCCTTCCACTCACTCCTGATGAGCACAGGTAGATACTAAAGCAGCTGGTGTAGTTTTTCTTTGTGGTTGTTCTGACTGATGTTGACATCAGATCCTTTTAAAAATATGTTTTACACAATTCTTGCATTTGGGAGCTTTCAAAATCACTTTGACATAAGAATCATGCTTAAAAATGGATTTATTTATTTTTTTAATTCTGTAGGGAGTGAAGTGCACAAATCAGGGCTTGATGAGAATATGAACAGGGTCACAGGAAGGGAACCTGTTTAAAAGGTATCTAAAGGGCTTCTGTGACCTTTGCTAGCTACGTCTGTCAATATTGAGTAAAAAGTGGTGTTTTAAGGAAATTTTTGTTCCAGAAAAGACTTTATAGGCCTCCATAGATCTGCTGCAGTTTCTTTGAACCCACCCACTTTGAAAGTGTTGATTTGCATTAACTCTTCTTTCTGCCTTTACTTTTACAACCAAGGCAGGCCCTATAGCTTTATTTAGAAATTACCCATCATTAGTAACCACAATCATTTAGTAGACATATTTACAAGGTAAGTGACAGTGGGAAGTAATTAAGTTTAATATAAATCACACTCAATTTCAAATCTGCAGACTTCAAAATAATAATTATTAGAAACTGCAGCTTCTATAAAAAGGTGCAGTATTTATAGTAGGATCTTCTTTCTTTTCCAGCTAAACACATTGAGTCTAGTGGAGATTAAAATCCCCTGTCTGTTCATCTTATTTGTTTCAAAGCCATTTTTTTCCTGTGGCACACTTCATTGTGAATTACCCACTGCTTTTATTCTTTGTGGGGAGATTTTTGACTCTTGGTTGATGATGGTGGGAGGAAGAGTTCAGTGTTGTCCAAAATGGCCTTGTAAATGCACATATCTTGAGCTGTGGCTCTTCTGCTAAATCTGTGTTTTATAGATCAGTGCCTAACGATGTGTGCTTTTTCACAGGTGTCATGCAGCTGACAGGTCTACTGGTGGAGCTGATGGTCACAGCCAGCGTGGAGATTCTTCATTAAACAAAACAGAGTAAAATAATCAAGAAAGGTTAGAGCTGTTTGTGAGATCTAGTGAGTTGACTGCTCACCCTGTCAAAAAAAGTCATCATTTGGGACGACAGGCCACTGCCAGCAGCTGCCATGGCTAGCAAAAGAAAGTCAACGACTCCCTGTATGGTCCGAACTTCTGAAGTCATGGAGCAGGAAGGCGCCGAGGGCACAGAGGCCCCTAAAGAGAAGGGGGCTGGCACACCACAGCAGGACTCTCAAAAAAGTTGGCCTTCAGAAAGCTCAGTCAAAGACTGTGAAGTGGTTGAGGCAAAGCCCCCAGCTGAAAATCAGTCTAAGAAACCCCAGGGTGGTTATGAGTGTAAATACTGCCCTTACTCAACACAAAACTTAAATGAATTTACAGAGCATGTTGACACTCAGCATCCAAACGTCATTCTGAACCCCCTGTACGTCTGTGCTGAATGCAACTTCACAACCAAAAAATATGATTCTTTATCTGACCACAACACAAAATACCACCCAGGAGAGACTAACTTTAAACTGAAATTAATTAAACGCAATAATCAGACTGTTCTAGAACAGTCCATTGAAACCACTGTTAATGATGTCACTGTTGCAAGCGGTAGGCTAGAAAATGCGGAGTGTGATGATTCACTTCATGGGGGAATTAGTGCAAGTAAAATGCCAGCGATGAAACTGGGAAAGCCTAAAGGGGAAACCAAGAAGGGTCCCAAAAAGCCAGAAGAGGGAGTTACGGAAAATCACGTGGATGGCGCTCTTCCCCGCATCATAACTGAAGCCACTGAAGCTATTGCTTGTATAAATGGAGACCTTCTCCATGATGTGTTAGCCCATGTTATGCCCTCTGTACAGCTGCCACCAAATATTAACCTTGTCCCCAAAGTCCCGGTACCTCTGAACAGTACCAAATACAACTCTGCACTGGACACTAATGCCACCATGATCAACTCCTTTAATAAGTTTCCTTACCCAACGCAAGCAGAGTTGTCATGGTTGACAGCTGCATCAAAACATCCAGAAGAACAAATCCGAATCTGGTTTGCTACGCAACGTTTGAAGCACGGTATAAGTTGGTCTCCTGAAGAAGTAGAGGAGGCAAGAAAGAAGATGTTCAATGGTACTATCCAGGCAGTTCCCCAGACCATCACTGTCCTGCCAGCTCCTTTGACGACTGCAAAAATGCCACAGCCCATCATCCAAACAGCTTTGCCTTGTCAGATACTGGGCCAGACCGGTCTGGTTTTGACTCCTGTGTCAAATGGTTCAACTGTTTCCTGCTCACCAATTACGCTTGCTGTTGCCCCAAACCAGGGGCAAAAGAGGACGGTACAGAACTTATCAAGTGCCCCAGAGGCCAAGCGTCCTCATGTAGTTCAGGTGCCTGAGATTCCTGCCAAGATGACTGCTGTACCACTGACGCCAGCCAGTGAGCGAAAAAAGACAAAGGAGCAGATAGCAGAGCTGAAGGCCAGTTTCATGGCAAGCCAGTTTCCCGACGATGCAGAAGTCTACCGGCTGATAGAGGCAACGGGTCTCTCTAGGAGCGAGATCAAGAAGTGGTTCAGTGACCACAGGTACAGAAGTCAAAGGGGTGTTGTGCACATCCCTGGTGATGCTTTAGGGAAAGATCAAATGGCACCTTCAGCTGGTCGACATGGCCGTTCATTTCACCCATACGCAGATTTTACTCCCCAGAGATTCAAAGAGAAAACCCAAGAGCAGCTTAGGGCCCTTGAAGAAAGTTTCCTCAGATGCTCTTTTCCTACTCAAGGAGAATTGGACAGGCTTCGAGTGGAGACTAAGCTGAGTAGGAGGGAGATAGATTCATGGTTCTCTGAGCGGAGAAAGATAAGGGACAGCATGGAGCAAGCTGTCTTGGACTCAATGGGATCATACAGAAAAGTTAAAGAACAAGGAACTCCCAATGGTGCAATAAGCCAGGCAGAACTGCTGAGTAGCTCTCAGCTCCCTGGTGCTTTATCTGGGTCCTCCACCACATTTAAGAAAACACAAGAGCAGATTCATCTACTGAAAAGCACATTTGCAAGGACCCAGTGGCCATCACCCCAGGAGTATGACCAGTTAGCATCTCAGACTGGGCTCACAAGAACTGAAATAGTTCGCTGGTTCAAAGAAAACCGGTCTTCACTAAGAACAGGGTCGCTTAAATGGATTGACCAGTACCAGCAGCAGTACGCTGTTGATGGTCATAATGAGCAAAGCCAGAAAAAGGGATCAAAACACACTGAGAGTCCAAAGAATGGTAATGAGGTGTCTCGGCAGCATTACCAGGAGCATAAAAAACTGAATGAAGAAAATGGGGGGAAACTAGTGGTGAGAGCAAAAAGAGACTGTGAACCACTGAAAGACTCTTTGTTGGGGAATCAAGCGGAGCGTACGGACAGGTTGGAGTGCAACAGCCATGACGGCCACGGCAGCGAGGAGAACGAAGAGCCAGCCGAGGTCAACTGGGTGGAGGTGACGGTGGGCGAGGATGACGCTGCATCAGACTGTACGGACAGTTGGAGCCATACGGCACCCGAAGGCCAGGCAGAGCTGGCGGACTTTGACTCTGAAAGTGTATCTGGAGACAATTCCCACGTATAGACAGGTAATGCTGATGGTGCCCTGTTTCTCTGAGCCTGCCTCTGTCTGGGTGTGCTTCCAGCATCCTGTAGTCCATCTTCAGTATAAATCCCTGGAGCCCATCCCTGCTGGATCCTTGTGCCTGCTGGATGTCTGAACAAAAGGGAGACCCATCCTGCTTGTAAATTAAAGCAACTGCATGGTGGGGGAGGGTTAGTGCCGTTTGTCTTGTTTCTTGTCTCCTGGTGGGTCAAGTCGTGGATAAGGGTGATTTTTTTTTAATTTTTATTTCTTTTTTTTTTTTTTGCATTAAGTGAATTAAACCTTAAAGTTTCTGTTTCTGCCTTTAAGTGACCTGTGTAACCTCTGCAATGCTTGATGTAAAACATACTAGCTGAGCCAAGCAAAGAAATAGTAAACACCACTAGTTGCTAATATCCCCCTTGCTAACAGATCATTGATCTCCCCTGAATAGAGGCTGTGCCTGTTTTTGCACCTTCCTTCGCAGCATCCTGCCCTGCTCAGATTAAAAGGTTACTGGGGGAAGGGCCCAGGACAGAGATGCTTCTTTTTTACAACAGCAAGCAAAAAAAAAAAAAAAAAAGAAAAAGTTGTGGGGACTCAAGTGTTTCATGCAAATGTGTGCTCTTCCTCTTGCAAGTGAGAACTATCTCCAACCTTGCTTTGTTCTGCTTGCTCACTCTAGAGGCTTAGGAAATGCCCCAGACTAAGCTGTGTGGGTGTTTTAGCAGCTCTTCTTCACAGGATCTTGAACTTAAAAGCAAGCTGCAGGGCCTTTCTTTAAGGGGGTTTTATACAATCTTTCACAATGTGAAAGGACGTGTTATTTGGAGACCTGAAGCCTGGTTTTGATCGCAGTTGCACAGGTATAAATCTGGAGCAAGCACCATCAGCATTTCTTGACTTGCATGTTGAATTGAGTTCACTGGAGCCTGTAACATTTCATGCTCAGTATAACCGAGTCTGTCTCTCCCAAACTGGAGTCTCCTTAAGCTAGAATTTATCCCACAGAAAGCTCAGCACCCTGCAGTAACAACTGCAGTGAGAGAACACCTATTTTAGAAAGAGTTAGTAGTTTTCTGGTGTCTAACAGGGATAATATGTTTCAGCATTTCTTTTTTAAATATTAAAAAATAAAATACAAAAGCCAGGACTAATAGAAGTCCTTCTACACTTGCACTGAGACTTTTACTATTGCAGATGGCAGTACTTGAACTACTGTGTGTTGTGCAGAGGTGCAGTTTTCCTTAGCAGGCCCTGCTGGTTAGCCTAGAGCCCTCCACCTTCTCTTTGTGCAACACTTGTCCAAAAGTCTCTTGGATGTTTTCTCGGAGTTGAAAAGAGAAACCCTATAGTGGTTTTATTTTGAACTACAAATTGTATCAGCTATTTTTCAGAAGTGTTACCACAGCATCTGTATGACAAAGTATCTTAAAGCTCCAGACTGCGATGCAAGGCACTGTCCTGCAGTATGCTTGCAGAAGTTGGTAATTAGGGGTGTGAGGAGCAGGTTGTGTTACCTCTGTGGAAAAGGCAGAGACTAAAGGAGGAAGGACATGGGAACATCAGCCAGAGGCACACTAGGGTGCCACTATTGTACAGCCACATAAGAAAGCAGAGCCGGGATCTGATCTGCCTTTTAAAATCAAATGTGTGATGAATAAATGCATTGTGGGATTTGGGGGGGGGGGGGGACGGGACGGGACGGGCGGGTGTTGCAGTTGTTATTCCAGATCATTTCTCCCTTCCAGCTATAAATGTTCATACTGAGGGGAGGGAGCAGACCAGGGGCTAGGAGAGGGAATGGGGAGGAGTGCAGGAGAAGGGGGTGTTGCCTGGAACTGTTATTTCTTACAGACCTCTTGTAGTATGAAACCAAGTTCTGCAGCAGCCCTCTTCCAGCAGCATAGGCTCAGTGCTTGCATTTTTGTACGTGAGCAGTGTAGGGTACGTTGGGGTGAACCTCCTGCCTTGGTGCCCTGGGCCAGGTGCTGGCTGTAAAGCTCTAGGGCTGCGGAGGTACTCAAGTGTTATCAGAGGAGAATTTTAATAAGAACTTTGATCTCAGTTAAACTTTTGCTGGGTTATCCTTTTGATGAGGAGCTTTCCGGTGACTGGCTGTAAAACACACCTACTGAAAAGAGATGCACTAGAGCAGGGCTTCTGCTGCAGGAAGATCAGAGAACCATTTTGTCCTCTGTTGTTTGCCTGCTTCTCAGCATGCTGGCCTGGGGACTTCACAAAAGCCCGAAGTCTTTCTCTCTTTCATTTTCCTTTGTTCTCTTTCTGTAAGTTTCAGCCCAGAAACACAAGTGTCTGCTCTCCAGTGCCTGCATGAAGGCATTGTCACAGGCATTGTGACACTAAAGCTGGAAACTTTACCCCACACTGATTGGACCTGTGGAAAAATCCCAGCTACTGACTCCTTTTTCCTTCAGGATAAGCTTTCACTTTTACCTTTGTGTAAGCCTATCTTAATTTTTAACTAAATCTTTGGTGTTAAATTAACAAGGCGTTATCTTAGGTGACATCCAGGGTATGACTGAAAAGCAAAGACTGCATAAGACCTGATGGAGAGCTTGTTTCTGCCTGTTGTCATATAAAAGTCTGATTTTTTCCTAACATCATACTGCTCAGTACCTTAGCCAGGGGTGTGTCACTGCCCTAGCCGCACATAAGAGATGGACTGAAGAGCTGACAAGGGACTTCTCTTGACTTCCACTAAAAATACATTGAGCAGAAACATGCTCCTTTGATATTCAAGGTGTTGCTATTTTCTCAGCTCAATGTATGTAGTTTAAAGTGAATGTTTCTCAGTGATCGATTTCCATACTCATGTTGTTGGCTGAATTTGTGTGTGGCTTCCATAAAACCTGAGCTCTTCCAGATCATCTCAGTCACTCTCTGCTCTGGTGTGCAGCTTTAGGAGTTTCTGAAACTATTAGGGAGTATTTGTGTTACAGCCCAGACAGACCTTATGCCTTAGAAAATTGAGGTTTTCAAAACTGATCCGTGTTTGCCGGATTCTGCTGCCGCTGTAGCTAGTGGGAGTTGCACAGGCACCTGGCCTTTGCAAAATCAGGATTCACAGAAATATTATTCACGGACTAAGAAAAGGCTCTGTTACTAAGTCCATATCTGAAGCTTTTGGCAAAATTGGATTTATTCCCCAGAGCAGTCAGGTTTCCTGAGCAATCAGTCTGGGAGACCTGTCCCTGTAGGGTACCGGGGCCTTCAAGATGTTGAGTGGCTGCTGTAGGGTGCACTAAAAATGCTCCAGATGCTGCGTAATGAAGTCTCTTGTAATGAGGCCCAACTGCTCTATCAAGGGCACTTTAGCTCCCTTTCCATCAATAGAGATATTCCTGCTTCCCAACAGCACGGGGCAAAATTAGGTCTGTTGTCCCCATTTGCGCAAGCCTGACAAACGGAAACTGATCCTAAATTAAATACAGCAAATTGCAGCTCAGGCATGAGAGTGGGACCAGAGCATGCCAGAGTGGTTGGCAGCTACCGCTGGCTTTCTTCACAGCGTTGTCTCCCTGCGGGGTTTTCCCAAGATCAGTATTTCCTCAGCCCAGAGCTTTTATTTTTTTCTCAGAAACATACAGTTTTTCCCCGCCACCACCAACTCTGCTGTAAACTTTCTTTTTTAGAGTTGTCTCATGACCTCCATTTTAAGCCCAAACCCTGCAAGTTGTAGGCACCAAAGTCCATGGCTCACAGTGGGATCAAGGTAGGTGGGCACCCCGGAAGATGCATGCCCTGGCTCTTGATGGCTGTGACCACTGCTCTGTGGAGATGTGCCGAAAGGAAACCGTGTCTGGGAGTTGCACATCAGAGAAAAAAAAAAAAAAAGTCTGAAGGAAGTTATTACCCCTTGCTTGTGCTGTATGCATTGTACTGGGCATCAGAGGTGGTCTGGGTCCTCTTGGTGTCTCCAACCTCTTTTGCAACACTCTGGGAGCTGAGATCACTTGTTTGCTGGTGACTCAGTGCATTCCTCGAACGTGTCCGAAACTGGTAAAAGTGTACAGTGCTGAGGTTTCCCTCCCTTTCTGTTCAAGTTCTTATTTTTCTTGTGGTTTGGGGTTTCATCCATAAAGCTAGCTATAGTGCCCGTTACTGGTGTTGGGTGCCATCCTGAAGTCGGTGTGGTTTTTGCAGAACTTGGGTCCTCCTAAAGCATTTCAGGGAGTGAGGCTGAAGGCCAGAGGACTTGCCATTTCCCCTGAAAGCAGTGAGGCGTGTCAGAGACCCAAGCTGTAATGCAGTGAAGGACTTCAGAGCGGGAGACAAAACCCAGTGCAGCAATTAAAATTTTCCAATGAGTTAGGAGGAGCAGGGAGCTGTTTGAGAAAAGGTCACAAGGACGGGAAGGACTTTTGCCTTTGGCGTTGGTGCAAACCTGTGTCCTTTGCCTGGGCTCAACTGCATTGCTTTCTGCGTTGCAAATGCCAGACAGAGCTCATCGCTTTTGTGGGAAGTAACAGGCCTGGTAGCAATGTTCACAAAGGGTATGAAATAACGGGTTAAGTTCAGGTTTTGGTAAGCCCTGCTGCAGGATGGGTGAGGAGGATGGTGCAGGAAACCTGCCTCGTGCTGCTGCATGCGGTTCCAGCCTGAGTGGGTGCTTGCACTTCTTGCACATTTACACCGAATGGGGAAAAACATGCTGAACATAATCCATGTTGTAAAGCCCTTGCTCTGTGCTGGGAACTGGGGATACGTGTAGGCGGGTGAGCTTTTGAAGGTTGGGGGTTTTTTTGCGTTATTTTTTAATCTCTGGTCCGTGGTGCAGCCTTTATGTAGGTGGAGGAGTCATAGCGGAGCCAAGGAGCTGCTCTGCAGAGCACAGGCACATGCAATTTTTTCCATTGTCTTGCAGTTTGTATAATTATTTCCTAAAATCACCAAAAAAAAAAAAAAAAAAGTAATGAGAGGATTTGCAGGGGAAGACAGACCTGAAGTCTTGCCTTTAGCACCATCTGTCCTGTGGTCACAAAGTAGCTGCCCCAACCCATGTGCACATCGTCTTTGAGCCGGTGTGAGGATCTGCCCGAGGTGTATAGTAGTGAGTCGAGGCTGGGCTGTATGTCCCTGTTAGAAATCTATAGGGGGTTATTAGCTGGGTGTTATATATAACAAAATGTGGTACCCTAGTGCAGCATCAGGCTGTGATAGGGGTAGGCTTCAGGGTACAGTTAATACAAAATACAGCATTACTGCATGTGCAGGGTTGTAAACTGGACTCTGTGTTAGTTGACAACTCAAATTGTTGTTCATAGCACCTTCAAAAATAATACGCTGCTTTTATAATTTTTGCAGGGGTACTCCTCAGCTGCACTGTCCTGACATTGAAGGGGAAATGCTGCCTGAAAATAGAAGAAAACTCTATTTTCCTGCCTGGGGTGAGATAGCGTGTTGCGACTCCAAGTCTCAAACCGCGCTTGCGGAGGCACAGTGAGAAATACTCTCATGGAGCATCATCATGGAATCGTTTATAGTGCCAAAGTCCTACTACTGCATTAAAAAAGAAAAGAAAGAAAGAAAGAAGGGTCCTTGTACATAGGTTTCTCCTTAGCTTCTCTCCCACCCACTTACCTGCCCAGCCTCTTCCTCTAGTGGAACAGATTTGTACAACGTGGAAATTTTGTTAACTTTTTAATAGGTGCAAGTTATTCTTGCATATAATGCCATTGCAAAATTTGGGGGAGGGCAGTGTCTTTTGTGGGCGAGGAAGAGGAGATTTTTTTTTTCCCTGGAGCATTTTAAGACAGAGTTGCAATCTTTTGCAGATCAACATCTGAGCCCAGCTCCCCACCTTGGTTTACATTTCAGCCCACTTAAATGCGTTACGGGGCTGGGGAGGGTTGTTCTGGAGTGGCTGGGGTTTGGTTTTTTTCTTGTTGTTTTGACTTTTTTGTTTTGTTTTATGGCCACCTGCTACCGGTTGAAATATTTAAATCTCTGCTTTTCCGTGCTCCTACAAGGCAAGTCTTCTCCGCTCTTGTACTTCACTTTTCACAAGCCAGCCCCAGCTGTGGGTATTTGAAGATTTGGCTAGAATGCCTTTTTTGTTGCTTTTTTTTTTTTTTAGCACTTTTTGTTTAAACATGCAGTACAACCCCCAGAGGGGTTGGAGCAAGGAAATTAAGATGCTTCATAATCCAAACTCGTTTGTGTTTCTTCAGCTGGTACAACGATGGACACTGTAACCAACAGTCTGCCTTCCAGCTTTAGATGTTGTAGCGCACAACAGAAATTTCTGACTAATCCTTGCCACTAAATTTTTAGATTCTTAGGTTCCCGAGTGCACTTTTTTCAAATACTGCTAATTTGGATTTTTGTGGGGGTGTCTGGCCCTGCACGTGTGAGGAGGAGGAGGGGGGAGAGCAGGAGTGTGGGTGCGCAGTCGAGTGGGTGCGAGAGCCGTCCAGTGCGTTCCTCTGGCGAGCTGGGTTCGGAAAACTTATCCACCTTTCCGTATGCTGCACAAATACGATGCTTGGGAGTTTGAATAAATCCAACTTTTCTAACTTGTTGCTCATTTGTTGTAACTCAATAAAACAAAGGCTAAACGTTTTGGTAACCTTTTTCTTGTCTCATTTATTTATTTCCATTTAAAACCCACACTCGGCCCCCACCAGCTCTCCTTGGTGCGCAAGAGCTCAGCATCTTTAGAGCTGCAATTAGAGTTTTAGCTGGTTTTGCAGTAATCGGCTTGGCAAACGCTAACCAGATTAAAGTGAACTGGGTGAACTACTGATGTTTATTTCCCCAGTTTTACGCAGCTCTTTCCCGCATGAGGGGTTCAGATAGCGCCTGGGAGTGAGGATTGGGGGGGGCACCTTTATTTGGGTTGCAATTGCAACCTGAATGAATGAAGAGAAGAAAGAAAGAAACTGTCCCTCTGCCTCACTCATACGGACTTATTTTTATTAATCATCAACACAACATTTAAGTGTTGAGGGAGGTTTGCAGTGTGTGATGGCAAGTGCTCGGTGACTTTGCTTGCAATGAAGTTGCCTGCTTGGTACCAAAGAGAAGTAACTGGATGGGGCAGCGCTTGCGCTCACCGCGTTTGCGTGCAAGAGGTGGGGAAGCAACTTCAGCTCCTCAGCAGGTAAAGGCAGCCTGGTACGAGTACACGGACGAGTTCTGCGGCCGAGCACAACACTTGGTGCTGTGCATCGTGCTCCTGCGTGCAGGGCACAGTGTGACTTGCCTGCGTAGTCACATCCGCACCCCTCACTTCGTTTGTGAGATCGATGGATGTGAGTGTCAGGTGGCCAAAAAGAAAATGCCTCTGAGGATGCTCCTCCAGGACTCCAAAGTTGTAACTGAAACTAATTGCCACTTTTGTCTGCTTTGCTTACATGAAAGGATGCTAATATTTTAATTGCCCTTGTGCACAGTTTTTAACAGCCACTTGGCAGCTTAATATTCCAGTTTGCATCTCTCTTGTCTGATGTGCGCATACGTCTGTGTGTCTGGAGCGCTGACCTACTTTGCTTAACCAGCAGCGCTCCCAGGGAGCTCAGCGGGAGGTTTAGGAAGAACAGGACCCACCTGGTTTTTCTGTGTTTGTACGGCCCCAGACACGGTGGGATTAGGGCCCAGGACTGGGGCTCTTTAAGATCTCTGCAATTCAAATAAAATAATAGCAGCAGCCCTGGAGTCTGTCATCGCACAGATAATAGAGCTGAAGCTCTCCCGCAGCAAACAAATGGGCTTTTGCGAAAGACCGGCACAGCCTTGGCTGGCGTCGGCAGAGCAGCAGCACCGTAGGTTTGTGCAGGCAGGTTGCGGTGTGATACCAAACCTCCAGACGCCGGGTTTCATCAGGGAAAGCTGATCCGGTGGCCCCTTTTTGGTTTCTTTTCCCTTAAAGCAACCCAGGTCTCCACAAAGATTGCTTCACTGTGGCTGCCGGAACAAGTTTACAAACTGGGCATTGCAAGCAGACTTTGTTTTTAATTAATACCGACGCGGTGGCTGCGTTTCTAGGAGAGTCCAAGCGGCGAGGCACAATCGGGACATTGTTTGTATGCGGCGGCCATTGGGGACGGCCTTGGCTGTGGGGTTTCGTTGCACATGGATGAAAATAGGCGGCTGACACCACGTTTCCTCACGGACAGCCCTGCCTCCCTGCTTGCAGGAGCCTGGCATTTGCACCACGGCGGTGGCTCGGGACAGGCTTTCCTGGGCAGGGTCCCCCAGGACCAGCAGTCCCTGGTGCTCAGGTTTTGATTGACATCTTTCACAATGTGTTTTAACCTAAGTCTCTTGAAATGTTCTAATCAGAAGAAATCTGATTAACACAAAAACACCCCCCCCCAAAAAAAAAAAACCCCGAACCCACCCTGATTTTTTTTGCACTTGTGCAACACTTTTTTTAATGATGTGGCTTGTAGAAAAATCCATCACTTAGAAGCCAGGAATGACTTGAATTAGATGGCCTCTACTTTCTTAATTTAGTCTGCTTGTATGCTGACAAGAGGATGGGTTTTCATTATATACAGACATTACTGCTCCTGCCTGGTCCATAAGATGCTAGGGAGGGTGCTCCTCAGTAAAGGAGCTGCCGTTGGCTCCTTACTGCTGTCAGAGGTCTGAGGACTCCACGTGTCCTAACACAATTACAGTTTAGGACAGGTCAGACAAAAGTGTTATTAAATGTGATCATGATAAGAGAACATGAGCGCATGGAATAACAGCATCACAGCATGGTTTGGGTCGGAAGGAACCTTCAGAGATCATCTCATCCAACCTCACTGCCATGGGCAGGGACATCTTTCACGAGCTCAGGTTGCTCAAAGTCCCATCCAACCTGGCCTTGGGAAGTTTTGGGGCAGAAACTTCAGCATACATGAGCTTCTCTGCTAAATGAGTCATTTTTCACAAATCTTTTTTAAAAAAAAAAAACAAAAAAAAAAACCTTTTTGTTTTTCAACCACATCACTGCAGTGGCACCACTTCTAACCTCAAATCTCTGACGTTGACCTTTGGGAATTTCGTGTAATGCATGGCTTTGAAAGCCAGCCAGTGAGTGGTGCAGGGAGTCTGTAGCTGCCAGGTGAAGCCCAGGAGATGCGAGACTCGCTCTCAGAAGAAAGGATGTCCCAGCACCATGTGGACCATCCATCACAGGCTGGGGGATAGAAGTGCAGGGTGATGCAAGAAATCTGAGTGATTACAAGCATAATGATAATTATGTGGCAATAATTTAAAATCTAGAGAAATACACAGGTAAAAACGGCAACCAGGATAAGTAATGCGTATGCACTATATTCGCCATTAGCAGAAAGGTAACCACTGAAACTGTTCCTATCAACGCTCTGTAACCCTCAGATATTGTTAGGTAGCAAAAAGACAGATCCTGAAATCTTACTAGCTAACATGAGAGGGGGAAAAAAATTACTTATGAAAGCACGTAAGGCAATATTGTAGGAAATCCACCTGGCATTCTGGTAGCAAGGAAAGAGCACATCAGTGATGGAAAGGAAATTTTTTAATTATCTCTTGAAGAAAAAGAGATACCTGAGATCATTTAGATCAGTGAAAGGGAGGACTTCTGTACTCATGTGATCGGTAACTAATGGAAAGCGATTATGAATGGGGCCTGTGGCTCTTGAGCATAATTTTGCATATATTCATAGTACAGCAGGAAAAGGGAATGTATTGAGAGCAAGAGAATGTAAGAAAGATAAGCAGTGGAGGAATGAAAAAGCAGCATAAAACCCAAGTGTTACACAGTTGAACCATATCCCAATCAGATTATTGCAAGCTCTAGCGAGGATGGAGATAAGAGCTGAGTGACCAGGTAATTGTCAGACCTAATCACACAGCACACATCTTGAGCGCAGTAAGCAAAAGCAGGGTTCTTCCATTGCTTTCTCATTTCCATCACACCTGACGCTCCAAAATGGTAGTTCTAATTATATTACAATTTTCATCATTTAAGTCTACTGTGAGAACCACACAGCCAGCAAACTGGCTCGGGCACAGTAAGTGGGGACATTATGAAGCTTCTTTAGTACACAAATTCATCCTCTCCTTACTCCTTTTTTGCTTTCTGAAAAGTCTAGATCATCCCAGAGCAATACCTGATGTAAAATATAGCACACAGCGATCTTAAGCTAAAAAAAAATCATTGTTTTTGCAACACAGCTATGAGATAGGTAAAGGAATAATGCCATTAACCCACATTTATGGACAGAGAAACTGGGAGACACAAGTAGTTATTCACAAGATTGCAGAATAAATGTGCTAAAGGCAGGAGCTGGAGTTCAGCTTGGCTTTGTCTTGACTTCCCAGCAAGGAAGCTTCATTTTGTATTTGTATCAAATCATTGCCATTTCATCTGTGTTTCTTATTCTTT